CGTCGATGAAGGAGTTCGTACGAACACGCGGCTTCTTATCTGCCATCGGGCTCGACTTCCTTCCGGGCGGCATTTCCAGGACTTGTAATATTTTCTGGTCACGTCTTGGGTATGCATGAACTTTAAAAAGTGGCGCCTTCGTGCTCACGGAATATTAAAGCCATTCATATTTACCCAGTGACTAGATACTGTAGACACGTAATAACGCATTCTCTCGTTTTTTATTCCTCTCCCTTCGCTCTGAAATTATCGTCCCTTCCTGTTCGTTTCGCGTATTCACCGTAAGACGGCATTATTTCACCACTTCCGATATTCGTTCATTGCCAACTACCCTACTTCACCCTTCCTGATTCCGGCTTATGAATATGAATTGCATCAATTACGCGGAACGCGGCCGCGGTTACCGTCTACGTGATGTTTAAAAAATAATGCCCGTGTAGATACAAATTGCGAATAATACTAAAAAGATGATCAATATTGATTCAAGTATCATTAATTGTTTCATTGAAAAACATTCAAATTTTCGAAACAATGCATTTTTGGTTCGTACATACACATACATGGAACGCACATGTATTCATCTCACAATTGTAAGTTGAAACTTGTTCAAGTTGTTTGCTAATTTATCTAGCGTTGCTTAAATCAAATTGCTTGCTTGCGTTATGTTTGAGGTTACAGGTTGTACGGAAAATCGATACTCGACGCGTGACTAAATATGTAGCCCGTGAGCTTCGTTTTATTTTATCTCATCGGAAAGCGTTAAAGCTTCTTAGACACTTTGAGTACCTCTTTCTCCGAGTTCTCCGAGTTTACACAAGAACTCGCTTTGGAACCGTTCGGAGTCGCTTTAACGCGTACGAAGTACGAACTTCCGCTATCTACGACTCTATTAAACTTGTTCGCCTCCAACTTTATAAATATCGATACATCGCAGGATTGGTTTTGTTACTTGCCTCGATCCTTAAGCGGAGACTTAAAAACTAGTCGTTGAAAACTGCCGTCCGGTCCAAAGTAGTTCGAACGAGACCATTGATTTCAAAAGCGTCGATCTTGCAAATAAAAGAAGAAAATTGTCCGTTGTGTCAATTGTCCTCCAAAAAATACAAAAGAAAAAAACAAATTTTAAAAGTAGTCATCGTTCGTGTGTACACAAAAAATGGTTCCGAATCGCAGTTGAGTGGCACTTTTGAGTAATTCAAATCGGAAAAGATGAAATTTTTGTTTGCCAGATTTCCGTTTCGCATCGTGCTCGTATTTTTCCTGCATTCAGTGAAAATCATTTCTCCCTATTATTTATTTAGCGAATGGAAATTAAACACGGCTTTTGCTCGATTCCAGCGAAGCGTAGTAAACGCTCTTTTCCATTATTCGTATTTTCGTTTCGACGAATGGGTAAAAAGATGTACCGTCGAGCAGTAGATCGACTTTGTCGATGAAACGAACGCTGACTCATCAAAATAGACAAATTTCTCTCCGAATTTCACTAATACAGCGTTATTTAAACGTTAATAAATAATTTGCTATCCGTCGAATAGTTCTGTAATGTTATGGCAACTATTATATTGTTGCTGAATGTAATTGTAAATAAACGACAACACTTTCACTTCTCGAAGCGTGGAAGGAAATTCCCGGTACTTAGAGGATGACCTAATATATTTGCAAAAAAATGTGGTGGTTTGGCGGAAGGAAAACAAGGATAGCTATAGCGCGCGAGAGCGTTACTGGCAGAAAAGCAACCGAGGAAAATATAACGTGGAATTTTGTGGCGACGTCTATTGTATAATCTCGAAGGCGGAGAAAGAGCGACACAACGTATCCTCGGTATGTATGTATGAAGGTTTGCGAAATGGTATCAGCAGTCACGTAACGCTCTGCCTCCCGATCTCTCGAGTCCAACTTTTCGTAATGGATGCAGGACGCATCTATCATCCCTCATCATCAACGTCAAAATCCTGGCCAAACACAGCAGCCATCGGCTCGCCACTGAATACCGACTACTGAATACAAAAGAGCAGCCAACGAATAGTAGATAGCATGCTCAACTGCCTTCCGCTTCCCTCTGGCTGTCTACGTGGATTCCTGTGTGCTGATCTCTATACATGCTCCTCTATCAACAGAATTAGATAAACTTGTGTGTTACTATCGGAGCGTTCAATTACTACAGGAACAAGATTAAATTCTTAACTTTATCGATACGTAAAGACAAAGCGTAGTCGAGAGACTTCGCAGTCTAATTTGCAATGATGTACAAGTTGAACTAACGGAGCGTGATTAATTACTAACACGAGTAATTAGTCATTGCGCGACTGACGCGCGGTCGATGATGGTTCATCGTAACTATGAAAGATCGAGACACGGTCGACCGGTGTCGGTGGCTGAAACGTCACTGCTCGATTATTATATAGCACGATGTTTTGTTTGATATCGCAAGACGAAAATGCATTTCTCCCACGTCCGTCGACGCACGACGTAGCCCATTTCCCGAGAACAATTCGCTCGTTTCAAACGCTGACGTGTTTCTTTCTTCTTTCTATTTCGACGTCCGCTCCGTGGAAATATTATATAATAGTTTGAAGCGTGCATTGGCGATTCGAAGCATACAGGAACGAATTTTCATGAAATTTGATTGTAACATCCATACGCTATGCACGAAATTGTCACCGTGTTCCGAATTTCATCGAAACCGTTGAACACGTCGTGCAAGAAATAGTACCTATACACGAGTAACTTTTCTTCCGGACGAGTTAGAACTGCAGTGAAACTTCCGATTCAAGTGGTGGGATAGATCGATTTCAACGCTTGGAAACGTATTGTGTAATATCACGTAAGAAATAGTTTTTGAGTTTAGTCGACTGGTGTTGCAGGTTAAAATCGCAAAGGGAGATCCGTACAACGTAATTCGATGTCACTCATGTAATAATTAATATTTTTTGCAAGGTTGTACAAAGATTAGTCTTTAATATTGCGAGGCTTTGTTTTCTGATAAAATATACGTTCATAACACTATGTGTATTTATTCATCTTTCGTCTACGAGTTAAATAAATAAAATTGGTACAAACGTTCTGACACCTAACAACAAAAATTTAACGTATGGATTCAGGAGAACAAACGAGATTTTACGACATGTCTCAAATATCAAGTTTAATTCATGATTAACGTTTTGTCATATAATAGGACTTCATCCATTAAATGAAGGCTTGGGCCAATGTAGACCAAGGTTGCGCCAATTGCACCATGCGCTGCATAATATTCCCCGGTTCGAAGTTTTTCAACAAATTCGTTATCCACGCCATTATTGCAGCAATAAACTGAAAATATATTAAATGTAATAAACGATTACCGTATGTGCATAATTCCTTTAAGACGTTAATGTTATTTGAATACATTGGTAAACCAATTTTAAACCATACTCACGCGTTGAATTATAGGAAATAAATCAGCTGGGTATGTCATCAAACTGGCTGCTTCGACGTGGACAAGCTGTTCCATTATATCGTCAAATGTTGTATTCAAGGACGCGACCGTAAGAAAGTGAAATCGGAGAATATTACGGTACAAGATAGATACAACGAATATTATATTCGTAAATATAACTTCGTCGAAAAATATGGTCATTGGTGACGAGACTTTAGAAGAGTGTAAATGTTTCGGATGTTTCTTAAATGTTACGTTTCGAAAAAAAAGGGGAGATAATTAAATGAAATTGGATGAATAATTACAATTAGGTATCAAAGCAATAAGGATAATAGATCAAAGAAGAGTAAAAATATGGTATTGAAGATGAAACGAAAGGACATGGAGAAATCTACGGAAATTGACAGAGAAGAGACTTCGAAAAACAAATTGAATTCTCAAATGCCGGTGGAATGATCGAATAGCGCAATAAAACTTGTTGGTATAAATGAATGCTTTACAAGCAGGTTCGAGTTCTCATTAGCTAAAAGTCGAAGAGAAATTTACTTAGATGCGTGAGTATGTATGCGAGGTGGAATGAATAATTATGCGAATATTCAATTTAACATATTGTGACTCTTACCGTCGCAAAGCAGAGGAAAGTTACGAGGAGAATAACGGCCATGCCGTTTCGAGAATTCATTTTTGCAAAGTTCACTTGGTACTGTGCGCTCGGCTAGCACCTCGCTTCTGCGTCACTAAGCATTCGCGGACTTATCCTTTTATGAAATTTTCGTTATCTTTTGCGACATTATCGGTGGCAGTTTGTCTTTTGTCAGAGTGACTCATAACAGGAGTTCAATGGTTTAAAGGAAAAGAAACAGAAAGAGAGGTGTATAATTTTCAATGTGTAATGTAGTTGCGCTTCGCATAACGTCTTTGATAATAATAATTAGCCAGTTACCCCATTGGCCATTGTGTAGTTATGTAGAATAGAGTAATTTTCCACGTTACATGCAAATATTTAGATAAATTTTACCTTACACAAAAGTATGTATTTTATTCGGGAAAATATCGTTGATCTCTCTATCCACATGGTCTCCTGTTTCACATGGAATTGTACCGATCCCGACTTTATCCAATCTTATCGTATTCAGTTTGACAACTCAACGTGTAAACTTTAAATGGGGCACCATGTACATTACCGCAAAAGTGATGCAATACCATTCACGTCAACATTTAAATTCATTTAAATGTTGTTTGTCGCACTTACCTTCTTTCGCCGTTCCAGTTACTTATATTTACGCATTTAGTTTAGTTATCTGTTGCAAAAATTATGCAAAACTTCGCATTTACAACAAAATTTATTCAGTTTGTTCTGCCAGTCGCATATTTATAGATAACAAAAAAACATTCAGCCTTTTTTTAAGTTCAAATACCTGTCAGATAATTTGTTATACAACCAAGTATATTGATCGGGCAAAAAAGGTATCGGCGTGGTTAAATATCATTTGACGTACATCACTGTAAAATAATAAGTAATAAATATTTAAAGACATGTTGCCTGTGAGTAAATGACGACAATAAAAAAAATGATAACATGAAAAAAATATTCGTCCAGTGTACAAAAATATTAGACGACTCAGAAAAGGGAGGCCAAACTCCTTCATTCTTGACACATATGTAGACACGAAACTTGTCATGGTATCATAGAGGGAGGTCCGATTCTAGAGATGTCTTACATTCTACCAATCGAAAGTTGGAACCTGCTCGTATGAGCATCTGAAGTAAGTCAGAGGTACAGTTTTATTTATCGAGTGGGCGATCATCGTAGATGCTCGAAAGGTATTGGTCTAAGTGGCGTAGCGATTCGCGCCGAATCCGTAATGAGAGGGAACCGAAATCTCGAAACTCTGACAATAAGGGACGCTGGAGTCGGGACGGGCGTTGCTCGCGAAAACAAACCACTGGTAATGATCGAAGTTTGTCGCGAGGCCACTCGAGGTAATGGCGAGTAGTTAGACGAGCGCGTGGTCAAACGCAACCCTCGACAACCCTTTGGATTACATCGAGATCCGAAGGGTATAGAAAGCAAATTGTTGAAGCGAACGCGACTGAAACTTCCCTCTCGTCTTTACCGCGAGAACGGGATATCTCTCGGTCTCTTTGATTGTTTCCATCTAAATTTCCAACTTCATCCCTTATCGACTGATCTTCGCGATTTCTCTATAAACTACCGTCGAGCGAATCGCTTTTACGCGAACGCTATCAGAAGTAATGCGACTCATTGTTCAAATTAAAACGATTTTAAATTTTTTAACATACTTCCTTGTTGATATGCAAGAGTAAACAGTTTGTAGATCTTGTAGGGGTGCGTCACGTAGCTTATTAAACAACGAACGTTGAAAATAAAAGTATCGTGTCCAACATTGTCCTGTTGTAAAAAAATAGTTCTTACGACTAGGTTAATTTTCAGTTATTGTTCACGTCTAGCCACGTTTACATCTACAGTATAAACATCTGTTCCAAGTAATATCACGAATATGTATTATTTAAAGTGTGTAAATGTTCAACTCTAATACATTGGATATGCAGATAAAACCATTGGAAAGTTGCGGAAATGTCTGTGTTTAAGCGAGCAGGCGTGCATCCGCAAGTGTATCGAAGCGAGTTCAGCCCGATAAGGCGGATGCAATATTTTAGGAATTTCAATACGGTACTCGTCCCTTAAACTGCAAAGTTTTACTTCGCAGTGTCATCCGACTTTGCCGTGTTTCCTCTGCAGTTTGCATGCAATTTGTATTTATAGTGTTTCTCGGTGGGCATCGTGTTATAGGTTCATTTCATATAAGGTGTTCTATTTTAACGTAAAAATGGATATACAAGGCAAAGCACGTAAAACGAACCATCCGAACGACTTGTTTATTTCTGAGGATAGAGAAAAATGCTCCAGACGTATCTAGTTTGGTTTTAAGATGCAATGGAGTTAGGAAAATCAACCTTGTTTGTTTAAGTGAAACATGAAAATTAAAATTAAGATATCGATTGCTAGAGGGGAATTTTACATTTTGTATATAAATATATGAAATGTTCCATACCATCGATTACTCCTTTAACTAGTCATCCCTCCTTTTGAACATGTATTTCTATTAAGCGATTTTTTACGATCACCAATACTTTGTCTCTTTTCTGGGGATCGATTAAGGTGCAAATAATTAATAAACCTAAGAAGAACGCTCAGAACGGCCATAGTTTACGGGAGACTTGTACTTTACTGTAAAGTTTTACGGCTTAATTTGCTCTACGTTGCCGCAAGGAGAGATAATAAGAATAATGCCCCGTGATTATAGAGCTGGTCGTGATATCGCTTCGTTACCGTCTCGTCGAGGTAACATGGAAACTTCTCGTCCACTTTTTGCATAACTTATCAGAATCAAAGTAGTCATACTTCCAGTGAAAAAACGCTTTACATGGTTGAACTTATTTCATTGTATGGAAACTTAAAAAATCGAATGTTCGAGGAGCAAAACGTAATCTCGCGAGACCCACTCGAAGGAACTAATTTTAAATCTACCTCGTTTCCAATCAATTTAGACTTGAATTTCTCAGATTGTAAACAAGCTTAATTGTAAATAATCTGAAATGCATTCAACGTCGGAAGATGTTTCCGCATAGAACATTGTCTTATTTCTATTCGAAGATAAAATGCTGTCGATCATAATTCACGGTCCTTATTGATACTTGCGAGCAATTTGCATAACGGCCTCTCTCGGAAACGACCGAATCGGAAGATGTGGTTTCACGTTCGAGCAGAGTATTATGTATTTATGTATGAGAAATATGCTAATAAACGTGCACTAGATGGTATTTATGTACATTAATGCTTGACGAAATTTACGAACGCGCTCGTGAAAGTTCGAGCACCGTTCTTGTTTCAATAGTTCCTCACCGTAGAAGAAAAATTCTTTGATTTCAAAATATGACTATATCAGACGAAGAAATGTGAAATGGATGCACTTTACACTATGTAAATTTACATGACGCATTGTCGATAAAAACAATAGATAATAACACGGTATGTTTCGGGCATACCGTGTGTTTAACTGCAGATACGTCACTAACGATGAAGGTAAAGTGCTTGATACTTTTCCATGAATTTAAAGTAAATACAGAGTACCTTTGTATTTCCTATTGCATATTCAACCTGTCCTTAGTTGTGATTGACGGAGTAAACATAGGAAAATGATTTGACGCAAGAGTATATAATTATATACAAGTATATAAATCGATTGTATCGTGGCGAGATTAAAAATAATTTTCACTATTTAGTTGTTGATGGCTACCGGGGATCATGCATTAATAGAGTATTAACGAACGACTCCATTCATCGTATCGGTGACTGCGGCATAATACGGAACGCGGCAGGACGATAACGTTCTACAGCGGACTGGAAAATTACACGAGCGCGGGATTTGCATAAAAACGAGATTCTCCGTAAATATAAGCTTCACGATATTGCGAAGTTTATTGCAAAGTTGCGAACGTCGGAGACTTCCGTGCGAGACGACGCGACGTCGGCGTCGAGGGCTGAAAACATGTCGCGAGCCGGATATGTGCGCGATGTTAATTAAATTCTCATTAGCCGAGTGCTCTCGCGCGTTACACTTTTTAACTTCGGGCTGGTTAGCTCGATTCGTGCCACAACGGGTCATCAATAACCCACTGAAAGCACGGGCTGGTTTGCCGTACAGTTTCTTACCAACGCAGTGCCTCATTGTTTATTTTTAGTGGCCGGCAACTCTCTATATAGCGAGGACTAATTTCCATATGAACCTGAGCGGCGTGAAACTTGCAGATAAACGAAGGGAACTTCACCTTTTTTGCCATTTCTATGCCCCCGTTGTGCTGGCTGGAATATACTTCCGGGTGTACACGTATACTTCCGGACCTTGTTTCGAGGAAAAAATAAAGAAGCACCACCGGGCATGCCACACCTATTCTACTCTAGCCTGGAACATTATTTTCATTCCACTCGTTCCTTTTTTAACCGCATCTCCGCCGAGAAATCCCACATATTACTCTGGCATTGAACGCGTGCTTTAACTCGCTCGCGCTCCAAAGAGTTACTTTCTGTTCGCCTACCTTTTTTTACCTTCTATCTCGAGTATTTGTTTTAAATGGTACGTGAATTTTATCATCGATCTTTCTTCATATTAAAAAGATGTGCATCGTTGTGTGTTTATTAGGCTTTGACGTTTTTCTAGGTTTGTAATTTTAGGTTAAAGGGACGCGAAACAGGTTAACACGGTTTTTACCGTTAGATGAAATCCACTATCGTCGCAAAGATAAATTTTCAACTTGGTGGAGTGATATACGTGTTCGACAAAAGCGTAGACACTCGTGACAAATCGATCTTTTTGCAAATTCCGTCGGTTCGAACGAGGTGGACAAGCACATTACTCATTACTCTTGCTCGTAAATTGTCCGACAAGCTTCTCGGTATTCCAGAAATTTGTGGCACTAACGTAAAAGTAGGTGGTTTCGCATTCGAAACTAAACTGAATATGTAAAAGAGTAATTGGAAACAAATATTGACTTTATTAATACCTATAGATCGGTAGAGATAAATAAAGTCGTAATTTATTTCGACGTGTGTTTGTTTTGAAATCCATCGAATCGATTTTTATTAATCCTTCGCTATGCTGTTGCGTACATATTGCTACATGTATATGTTTGCAATTGGAAAAAATAAATGAAATAAGAAAACAAATAAAATTGGCTAGGAGAGACCTGCTCTAATTACACCATTGATTCGTCTCGGTGCGAAAAAACGCAGCTCGACAAACGTAGTAGCGTGCTGCTTTGGGAGAATTTGCGTTTTCCCCTCGATTCCATTGTTCGTTAAAAGTCATTGAATAGTCATTCAGTTACCCAAATCGTCGACGGATGTAAAGCGGCATTGGCAGCTGGTAAAAAAGCCTCCGTTCGCCGCATGTTATTTTATTATAGTCGTTGAATAGCGCTTGATTGATCGTCGCGGTGTTTTTGCCATGCGAATTCTTTTCGAAGTGGCGAGCACGCGTGGCCGCGACTTGTCCCCCTCAAAATCGAATCGATCGAATTTTCGCGCCTCTCGGTACTTTAGCATTTCCATGGGGCGAATGTTCGTCACCGTAAATCATCCCAACGAATGGAGCTCGCTCGTGAGTCGTTTTCCGTTCCGTTCTTCTGCCCTCGGTGGTTGTCAAAGTGAAAATATGTAACGTGACATAATTTCGCGTAAGACGTTCAAAGATCAGTCTCTGCTGTAAAAAAACGACGTATCAAAAGTGATACGATACAAAATTGTCGTTAAGTAGACTATCGAGGCTCGAAATGTTTTCTTTCTTTCGAAAATTCTAAAAGAAAATTAATTTATAACGAAAGAATAATTTAGTTCACGTTTGGTCGGAGCGAGGTCGACGCAACAAATGTACAATTACCTACATGAAAAATAGAGCACAGCCGTGCGATAAGTTTTCGACAAAATTGGCAGAGATATTTCACGTCCGCGCAGCTGGGGCAATTAAAACACTGGCCAGAAATCACCGCCAGAAATCAATTTGTATGGTTCGAAGTTCGTCCAGAACCACCGACGATTGACTACACGCGAAATTGTTTTTTAATAGGTAGCAAAATTAGACACAGTTTAAACGAATTAAGGTTTAAACAAATGAAACCGATAAGCGAAAATATAACAAATTCTTACCGCAGGCACATTCGATAGGCTGCTTATCGTAATAATGGGCAGGGTAACGAGGAAAATGCCAGTAGAAAATAACGAGGACGAGTCATGATAGAGCGATGCGCAAAATAAAGCGATAGAAGAAATATCGATGCACAATTGGACTCTTTTGTTTTTCAGCAGTGATTTAATTTCTGGTTGTTATCAATCGTTTTAACGCAATTTGTTTTATTTATTTCTGTTATTTTCGAATCGGATCGGAAATCTTTCGACAAAACCATTGTGATACACGATAAAGCGTACCTTTAATCTGAAAACGAAGCTTCCCATACCGTTGAAACGTAAACGCGTGTTTGTGTGTGCACGATAGAAATGCATGCGCATAAATGCATGCTATACTCGCGAATTATACGATGCTTTTTCGCGGTATATTTGGGCTCTCGTGAATTCAGTTTATAATGCGTGCACGCGGAGGGGCACAGGACAGGGAAAGCCTGTTGTGGAAACACAGGGAAAAGTATCGCATTTCTCTGAAATGCTTTCGTGGATCTACGTTTAGGCATCGGTGTTGAAAAACACAATTTCACGATCGCGATAATTTCTAAACGATCCGTTATGGGATTTGCATGCATCACACGCGACCGTCAGCTGGATCAGTTAAGCTAACACCCTTCGAAAGAAAAAAGTTTTTATCAACGGTACGTAAAAAGAAATAAATGAAAATTGAACTATTCATCGGAATAAACGACGCTGATTAATTGTTATACGTTGATTTGATTCATCAGGAACTGAACCCATATTTGTA